CTCCAAGGGGTCTTGACTTGTAAAGGAAACAGTGTTCTGGGGAGAATCTCCCTTTTGTTGGGTCTTCTGTTCAGTGCCTGCCTGGCCTGGGACCTACTGAGCCTCAGGACAGGTATTTTGATGTGCCAGCATGGTTAGGGACAGCAGGGGTGAAAGGAAGCAGTGGACTCCTGGTGCTCACAGTCTGTGAGATGGGAAGTCCCTGTGACTGATGGGCCCTTTGTCCCAAAGTAACTTGCACAGGACAAGGGAACTGACACAATTTCTGTGCATGATGGATTTTTGGCGATTTCTTGCAAGGACTGATAGGAAATATGTGTCCTTGAGATGTCAGTTTGGGAGAGATGGATTTTCACATTCTTACTCTCCCCATGAAGCCTGAGTCACTGAGCCTGCGTCTTCAGAGGGCTGTCTTTCCTCTGACCTGCAAAAGAGAATGCAGGACTGTCAAAGCTGGAAGGGCCGTAAAGCCTGGGCAGGTGAATCCCTTCAGCTAGAGGCCCAGGAGCCAGCCTAGGGAGAGGAAGGGGCTTTTCACAGCCACAGAGTGTGTTAGTGGCAGGTGGCCATTTGAAGTCAGGTCTTTGTACAGAAATGTCTTTTGGAGCCACCCCGTTTTTGTGGCTTTTAAAATCTCATCTGGGTCATGAAATGGGCAGAGTACATGAAGACCCTTTGTAAATGACTGAGTTACATAAAAGGTTGTTTATTGCTAAGTAGGCTCAGGGTCCACTGCTCTTTCAATCCAGAGGGACAGATTAATCTGAGGTAGTATCACTCTAAGGATGGGAGTTGTCCCTTGTTAATCATAAGAGTTACTACTTATGGGGCGCCAAGTAGGTACCAGGCTTCTTGAAGGCTTATTTTCTACACAACCAGCAAATACTGAGGACTTACTATGTGCCAGCCAGCGTTCTAACCACTTGATGTATAATATCTTACATATTCCTTGTAATATCCTGAAAGATACATGCCATTTTAATCCCTGTTTTGCACAGGAGAAAACTGGCACAGAAAGGGTAAAGAACTTGCCCAAGATCATATATAGGCTAGAGCCAGGATTCAAACCCAGGCCTCTGTCTCAGCATACGCGTTTTCCACTCCCTCACAGTCTGCTAAATTCATCATTGTCATACCCCAGCACTTAACACTCATGCATTCATTTGCTCACTTATGCACCACAGCCAATACTTACAATTGTTCTAGTGTGGTCCCTGGCATGGAAGATTCATGGCAAATGTCCATTGCTTTAGATCCTACCTGGGCCACTCAAGTTTGGCCTTGGCCTAGCCTCTGGTGTGCCCTGACTGTGCCCTCCTAAGGGTAACTTGGCTGTTGCTGCCATCTTTTTTTTCTTTTCAGTCTGAGCCTACATTTCTTTCTCTTCTGGGTCCCAGAGAACTCTTGTGTTGGCTGCCCCTTCTGTACCTGTTAGGCTCATCTCCCAGGAGGCTGACTTCCTGTCTGTCCTCGATGAGCTGACTTCTCAGAGAGTAGCTGTTACATTCATTTGGCACTTGGCATAGTGAGCCTCAGGCTGCTGGCTGTCAAACAAGGGAGGTGCATTCTCTGGGAGTGAGACAGTCCTGACTTTCAACTGGGCTCTGACCTTCACTCACTGAGGGAGCTTGAGCTAGTCAAGCTCCAAGCCTCAGTTGGCTCATCTGTAAAAACTGGTTTAATAATAGTCCTCTTGCGTGGGCTGAGTAAGATCATGGAAATGAGCCTATATATCTGGCTGACAAGGGATGACAATAAATGGTAGCAGTTCTTAGACTTGGCAGTGGCCCCTCCAACTTTAACCTTCTATGAATTTGCACACAATTCCTGTGTTCCCTAGAAGACAGAAATCCCCTTCAAGGACCAGAACCATGTCTTAGGCCTCCTTAAAGCCCCTGGACCTAGCTCGCTGCTCTGAATCCAGAGGCGTCTCGGAAGAGTCAGCTACTCTTTCAGCAACCTGCCATCACCCCTTGAAGGCCTGCTGGGGCCAGGCCCTGTGCTAGATGCCCTGGATTTCCAGGTGACTAGGATACCATGCTCTCTCACTTCTCTTGAGCTCACAGTTGATGGAGACCCAGCCAGAAGAGCAAGGAAAAGCAATAGTATTATAGGTAATAGAGGTCTGAAGGGCCCACCACAGGTCCTACTGGTCCCAGCCTCTTACTATTGGAGGAGAGATTGCTGGGGGAGCCGGCAGTCACTAAGTGGGAAGGAAGGGGGCTCTGGCATCAGGAGCAAGGGTTCTGACAACTGATGCCTCATGCTTACCACCCTCCAGGGGAAAATGGTTAGAATGAGCCTGTGGAGGAGGCTTGGACAGGGGCAAGGTATGTCTTTCCTCTGCTGGATAAAGGAAATGTTATGGTCTTCCCAGTTCCTGGCCGTGCTAGACTTCCTGTCTGGAGCTGCAGAGGGTCTGCACTTTGGGGTTGTAATTCAGGCTGAAGTGTAGATGGGAGACGTGAGGAAGGAGGATTGAATGCCACGTATGAGAAGCATTTCCACCTGCTGACTGAGGTGGGAAGCCTGGACTGATGGGCCCCTGGCTGTGGTCCTCCAATCCTGAGCTGGTGTCCATGTTCCTGCCAGGACCAAGATTTAAGGCTCTGGCATCTTCTCTGGGGGAGACAGGAGCCTCAGCAAAGGGAGCTAGGATTTCAGGATGGGCCACTTCCCCTTTCCTTTCCCAGAAGGAGTGATCAGAGCACAGGCCTGACCTTAGGGAACCACTGGCCTAGGCAGAGGTCTGAGGTCACCTCTAGAGTGAGGCTGAAGGCAGGGGTATCTGGAGATTTTGGGGGCTGTGTCTTAGGGGCGTGGAGGAGGAGGAGGGACATAGCTAATGAGAAGCAGGTGGAAGGGCTGCTCATGCCCTAGTCAGGGGACAGGCTGGCTGGGATGGCCCAGTCAGTAGGAGGACCTGTCAGCTCACAGACGATCCCACGGAACAGGCTCCGGGATGCCCATTCATATTCATTATGTGTGAAGTGGGCGGTTGTAAAGTTAGCTTTCTCTTCATTTAGCTGTCACTGGACAGAAAAATATGAGCTGTAGGCAGATGCCCCTGGATGAGAGCCAGTAGCCAGTCTCTGGCCTCCCTGTGCCCTCCCCTAGCAGCCTCCCACTGCACCATGGGTTCCCTCTTGGCCTCTGCCAGCCTCTCCCACTCTTGCTTTATTGATCTCTGACTCAAGTGTGTTTTTTCTCCTGTCTGTCTCTTCCCACCTCTGGTTTCTTTGAGTTTTTACGCATCCTTTCCTCTTCCCTCCCTCCATTTTTCTAAGCCTTCTTGAGAGAGAAAGGATCATGTTTTTGCCCATTGCTCTATCTCTGGCACCCAGCACAATGCCAGGCTGAGTTGGTACTCTAAAATGTTTGTAGAAGAAACTACTGTCTACATCTCTCTGACTGTGGGGAAGAAGGTCCAGAACTTTGCTGATCACTTCTTGGATAAAGAGACTTCTCATACAGTGGTGTGAGCCCTGGAGTCAGAAAGGTAGGCTTGAGCCCCAATTTCATTACTGCCTAGCCAGGTGAAGGAGATTCTGTTCATCAGTGGCAGGCAGAGATGTCTCTCCTTCCTGCCCTGATTCTCTTTCTGCTGGGTCCCCTCCTGGACACAGGGCTCACACCTGGACCTCAGAGCTAGCAACAGGACAGAGAGGAAAGAAATCACCAAAAGCCAGACCCTTGTATACAGGGAAGGGGAAGGAAGGGAGGGAAGGCACAGACTCCTTTGGGGATACATGCGACTGTCTTGGCTGAGAAATATGATCTGGTGGGGGACTCACCCCCTCCCCTGGAATCAGCTCAGCCCTGATGTGTCTTTGTGGGCTTGTGTTTCTCTGTGCCTGAAAGATGAGGCATGGGGTGGGGGTGGCTGGGCTGCTGGCTGAAGCTGAATTCTTCTGAGCAATGTGGTTGTGTTTACTGGGAGGGTGGGAGGGCCAGACCTTTTTCCTGCCTTCCAGGCTTCGGAGATAAGGCGGAAAGTGGGGATGAAGGATAGAATGGGTAATTCTCTGAAACCACAAGAAAGAGTTCTGGCTTTTGTCTCTGCCCCACAGCTCAGACATGTTCCTGGGGCGTCTGGAAGGAAGCCACCCCAATCCCACCACTCTGGGGTCCGCCCATGGGGAGCGCAGAACCTCAATGGGCACCCCGTTCTTCCATTCTACCTCCCATCCACTGTAGTTTAGCCACAGTTATTTCAGCATTTTTGCTGCCCTTCCCACCCTCAGTTTTCCCTGCCATATGAGCCCAGCCCTAGAGCTGAGCTTTTCTCCCTTGAGGGCTCTGCTGCAGGACCACCTTCCCCTTCCTCACTGGCCCCTCAGGGCTCCTGGCCCAGCCTGCATCCTGGATGCAGACCAGCCCCAAAGCAACCAAGTACCAAGCTCTGGGGGGTGGACAGTCACCTGGTATAAAAACACCACCACCACCCTTATTAGAATTCTGGGCAGCATTTTTTTTTCCTTCCTTCCTTCCTTCCCTTTCCTTCCTTTCTCCCTTCTTTCTTTCAACTGTCTTTACAAAAATGGGAATTGGGATCTTAGTGTGTGGAACTCTGTTTTATTCTGACCAACATCCAATATGGGTTCCATGGCATAGCTCTGGGCTGGTCCCATGGAAGAGATTCCAAATATGTGGTGGTTTTGGTGGAATTTCTGCCCCCCTTGCAGGGGAAGATGACTGCATGGCATGTTGGGAGTGCAGGCACAGGGTGGGAGTGAGGGCGGCTGGAGCTGGGGAGCCAGGTGCCTTTTTTTTCTTTTTTTTTTTTTTTGAGATGGAATCTTGCTCTCTCACCAGGCTGGAGTGCAGTGGAGTGATCTCGGCTCACTGCAACCTCTACCTCCCGGGTTCAAGCAATTCTCCTGTCTCAGCCCCCCAAGTAGCTGGGATTACAGGTGTGGGCCACCACACCTAGCTAATGTTTGCATTTTTTGTAGAGACAGGGGTTTCGCCATGTTAGCCAGACTGGTCTCGATCTCTTGACCTCGTGATCCACCCGCCTCAGCTTCCCAAAGTGCTGGGATTACAGGCGCGAGCCACTGCACGGGGCGCCAGTTGCCTTCTATGCTGACCTTGGCCTTCAGGCCCTCCTTAGTGGCAGATACCAGTGCACCCCTGCTGGTGGGGAGGGGAAGCAGGGCTGACTCCACGCCATCATCAGAGACCCCCTTTGTGGTTTCCTGTCTCATCATGAAGAGCTACTCCAGTCCACTTGGCGCCCTTCTCCTCCTATTTTCCTGGGTTCCCTGAACGAGGAGCCTTACAAGTAAGCTGTCTGAGCTGGAGAGATGACAATGGACTTGGACAAAGCTGGAGGAAGCAAGGCAGTGTCTCCCTGCCTCCAGCCCAGAGTTTGGGTGAGGGGGCTCAGTTTGTGGTAGGAAGAGTCCTACCTGCTTTGAAGCCCCTTCTCCTAGCCAGCCCCACATTATTCTAAGAGAAAAGACCCTGTAACATGTTCCCTGCTGAGGGCTGACAGTGGCAGCTGCTCTCCCAGGCCTCCAGAACCTGGGGCTTGGAGGCAGAGGTGCTTCCTCCCTGATGTCCAGGCAGGGGTGGGCTGGGAGTGGCTGGGAATGGAAAAGGAAGTGGGCAGCTCAGTCTACAGGTCCGTGTGACCGATCACGTGGTCCAGTTCAGAAGGCCGGGTGGCTCCTTGGGCTTTACCCTGAGCGAGACGAGGCTTGGAGACTTGTAGTCGCCGTCTGAGGAGGGCTCAAAGCTGTGGCACCCCAGGGTGGGGGGAAAGCTGTGGAGGGAGTAGATGCCAGGGTGAGCTGCAGAGGAGGCTGGCACCCCCATGAAGCCAGCCACACTCCCATGGGGGTGGGAATATGGAGACATGCATGGTGAGGGGATGCCCTCTGGAGACACAAGGCAGGGGCCCCCAGGGCTCCCAGATCCTGGACCGGCCCACAGGGAGTTCTGCAGCTGAAAAGAGAGGGGAAAGAAGGCCCATGAGCCGGTAGCCTCAGCTGACTTCCTTACCCAGGGGCTTTCTCTGTCCTTGGGGCCCCAGAAACTTTCCAGGAAACCTCCACTTGGCTTAGGTCTACCCCCTCTTGCCCCCAACATTGGCAGTGACATCTCAGGAGGCTCCTGCCACTGTTCTCAAAAGGAGATTTTCTTCTTTGATTCCTTTGTGTTTTGGATTCATCATTCATGAGCCAGGCAAGAGCCCCGATTTGCAGAGGAGGAAGTTAAGTGACGTTTTCACTGTCATACAGAACGCTGATGCTCTCTAGGTCTCTTCAGGCGAGAGCTCATATTCTTTTTGGTGACCCTGCCAGGTCCCGACTCAGATAGGGCTGGGGTCTTACCTGAGGGTGACTGTCAGCGTGGGGCAGCACAGAGATGTCATAGGCAGCCGTGAAGGGGTTCCGCCCCTCTTGGATCTTCCCATAACGCTCGCGCTTCCGCCACTTGGCTCTGCGGTTCTGGAACCAGACCTGGAGGCAGGTTGTGGGGTTTGAGGGGGTGATGGGGCAGCCCTGAGGAGAGGAGCCTGCTAGAGAGAGAGTTGATGGCTGTGTCCTCTTGTGGGATGGGCGGCTGGCTCCAGGATGGAGGATCTCGGCTGTTAATCTGTACTGTTCTTGGGGCCAGGGAAGCCTGGGAGGAGGCCTGGGAGAGGCCCAAGCCCCAAGCGGGTTAATTGGTCCCATGGACCTCCAGCTCTCACTCCCTAGCCGAGTCACTCTGGTCCTCCAGCCTGGCTGTGTCTAGTAAGGGTGTTGTGGTGGGGGGTCTGTTGGTCTCAGGGGCCCTAGGCACTTCCTGGGTATACTGTGCACATGTGTTGGATTTCTGGTCTCCCTGCCTCATCTCCTTTTCCAAGCTACCCACCTCATAGCATCCGAGGAATCTTAGACATTTCTGTTCAGTCAGGGTCCTATTTAAACCCTCAGTGACTCCCTGGAGACCTTGGTCCAGAGCACAGATTCCTAACAAGGCTCCTGGCTCTCTGCAGAGCCTCATGTCCTGCCAGGCAAACACATTCGGTTCTTCCTGGTTGCCTCCCAAGCTCCCGCCTAGCTCTCCTGAAACACTCTCTGTCTTGCTCCTTCCATCCTTTGCTTAGGTTTTCTCTTCCTGGGCTACTCATCCCCTCAACACATACATCCACGCTGGACATCCTCCACAGGACTTCCAAGACTCCCAGGACACCTCTTTGTACTCACCCCATTCCATTACCATGATCTGTTTTGGAATCTGTTTCTCTCACTTATTTTATTTATTTATTTTTTTGAGACAGAGTTTCGCTCTTGTTACCCAGGCTGGAGTGCAATGGCGCGATCTCAGCTCACCACAGCCTCCGCCTCCTGGGTTCAGGCAATTCTCCTGCCTCAACCTCCTGAGTAGCTGGGATTACAGGCACGTGCCACCATGCCCAGCTGATTTGTTGTATTTTTAGTAGAGACGGGGTTTCACCATGTTGACCAGGATGGTCTCGATCTCTTGACCTTGTGATCCACCTGCCTCGGCCTCCCAAAGTGCTGGGATTACAGGCATGAGCCACCGCACCCGGCCCTTCTCTCACTTATTTGTCAGTCCTTGGCAGATAGGGGTGGCGCATCTGTGTGTTGTGCACATCTGTGTACATATCTGTGATGAATTTGTTTGGTATATGTGCTGTGGCTGTTACATTTCTATGTATTGGTATTTATGTTTTGTATTTCTATCATTTAATGAATATTTACTTGCTAGGCTCTAAGCTAAATTTAGCAATGTTAAAACAAAACCAACCAAACAAAAAACAACCCCTGCTTTCCAGGGATATCTAGCTAGGAGTCACAACAGAAGCAGCTGTGTGTGTGTCAGTAATCCATCCACCCCGTCTGAGATGAGAAATCCCACCCCAGCCCCTCAGGCTCCCTGCCCCATGTATAGGTCATTCCTATACATGCAGGCAGGTGAGGCACCAACAGTGAACGGGCTGTGTATACCTCGTCCCCCTACCTCCCAGGTTGCCAAGATAACAGAGTAACAGAGCAGGCCTGTAGCAAGGTCAGGGAAAGGCCTCCCCAACCTGCCCAGCCGCCTGGATTTCCTTTCTGCTCTCCCTCCCGTGTCGAAGGATAAAGGAGCCTGGAGCCAGTGAATCTGGCTACTGGCATTCCCTCTTCTGTCATCACTCATTCTCCCCTGGGGATCCCACTGTAGGCCTCCCCTGGGCTCTGGACCTGCCCTCTGAGTTGCCTGGTGCCTCATTCTTCCTCTCCATGGGGCAGGGTGTCTGGGTGGGTTTCATGCTCCTGCCAGAGAAAACATTCCTACTCTAGGGTCTCCATCCTTTGGGAAGCTTCTAGGCTAGGGCTGGGGGCCTCATGGCTACTCCTGCAGCCTCTCAGGTTGAAAAGGCCTAGGGGAGGAGCAGAGGAAGTGCTCTCCACTTCCCTCAAACACTTCGGGAAGAGCTGGTTAGACCCCACCCTAGAGGCCTGCCTAGGTGACTCCATGGTCCTGATTCCCATGGCTTATATCATCTGGGGTTATCTTGAATGCTGTGCCTCTTGCCCTGATGACCTCAGCCCTTAGGGAGCCTTGGGGGACAGTCCTGGAAGTCTGTTTTGGCTGCCACCTGGAAGGCAGGAGGACCCAGCAGAGAAGGGGAAACAGCTCAAGCCTCTCTGATCCTATGTTGGATGCAGCTATAGGGCCTTCTCTGTTGGTTGACAGCTGGCCTCTTTACAGACTGGCCTGCCAGTCCCTGTATCCTGCCAGGACTGTCTTCTGCCCTAGTGCCTTCACAAAGAGTCTCTGGAAGGGCCCCATGCAGGGTGGGAGAGCATGAGCTTTGTCCCTGCCAAGTCTCCTCCATGGTGAGAGACAGACTCCTCTGCCTAAGGGGTCACTTCCTCGCCTTTCCCCAGAGCTCCAACCTACCCCTCCCAGTGCCTCCTGCTTGACATCGGGAAGCCTGCTATGATCCAGCCAGTTCAGTGCAAGCCAGTGAACGGCCATCTTCCTCTTGGGCCAGACTCTTACCGAAACTCCTTCCCCATCCCCAGCCTGCTTGCCACCTTCATGTGCTTTGTCACTTCCAACATGCTTGGACATGGGCTTCCCTTCCTTTCCTCTCTTCTCAGCATTTACCCACCCACAGGCTGGGCTTCCCTGATGTAAAACATTGGGGGCCATGGCCCTTCTGGGAAGCCCTGGTGCCTGATCTCCCCTGGGGAGTTTGTTAGGTGGGGGAAGGGCTCCCAGCCAGCCTTTCCCAGCCAGGGTCTGAGCGCTGGCAGGGACTGACAAATTTGAGTTACTGACCCTTAGACCTCTAGACAGGGACCCTTCCGTTCTAGGCAGCCACCTCAGGAGCAGCCCTGATGTGTGTTTAGCACTTCGCTGCTTCAAAAACCTGGCCATCTCTGTGATCCTCAAGATAGTCCCTACGCAGCCAGTCCCATCATTCCCTTTTCCTGAACTGGGAAACAGACAGAGATTCCATAACACACTCCAAATAACCTCCAGTAAGTGGCGGAGCTAGGACTCCCATACAGGTGATGGCTCCAGAGGCCATCGCCCTCATACCAGGCATAAGCCTCAATATGGGCCAGAAAAGCCTGTGGCTGCAGCAGAGCTGGGCATGAGGGTGAGTCCAGGAGGGGCAGGCTGGGGCAGGCCCCTGGAAAAGGTAGCTCTGGGAGGGACCAGCGCCCACCTCTCTCAGCCCTTCCAGGATCTGGTCACTGTGTGGGTGGTAGAGGCAGCTAGAGACCCCCATCCCTGCCATGCCCTCACCTGTACCCGGGCCTCGGTCAGGTCTGTGCGCAAAGCCAGCTGTTCCCGGGCATACACATCAGGATAGTGGGTTTTCTGGAAGACCTTCTCCAGCTCCTCCAGCTGGAACGTGCTGAAGGTCGTGCGGTTACGGCGCTTCTTGCTCTTGTTCTTGGCCAACTCCATGGAGTCAGGGTGTCCCGGGGAAAGAGGAAGACGCAGGCTGGCCAGGCAGGGGCCTGGGGAGGGTTGCAAATTAGAGGGACCCTCTCTGGGGCCCCCTCGGCAGTCCAAGGGTAGCTGGGGGAAGCTGGCAGCTTTGGAGGCCTTCTCTTCAGCTGCAATGGAGAACACAAAAAGGAGGATGGCAACAGAACCAGGGGCTTTTGTGGATTGGAATGGAGGGAGGGGGAAGAACATTGACGCCTCAGTCTCCGCCTCCCCCTTCCTTTCCCTTCCCTTCCTCCCAGCGGCCACCCTCCATGGGAGCCTGGCATTTAGAGGCCTGCCTGCTGAGCCTCCAGCTGGGGAGGGGGCCCTGGGGAACTATGTGCTCTGTGGTCTGGGCGGATCTGCTGGGGCCAGAGTAGGGTTCATTTCGGGGAAGTGCTCTGTGGTGGTGCGTTCCACAGGGACGTGACAGGACTGGCGCCACAGCAGGACCACCACCCTGGCAAGGCCAAGAATGGGGGAAGAGTGTGGGGGTGAGGATGGGGTGGTGAGGATAAAGGTCCCGCCCCTGCCAGAAAGTGCTTTCTTGTTCCTGACTGCAGGCCTTGGTTCCCAGACCCTTAGGCCCATGCCTCTGTTCCCAGGGCCAGGCAGGCAGTGGACGTGGGTGCTCAGACCACCTTTGGCTGGTCTGGCTGAGCTTTATTCTCTGAGTCCCAGGTCTCAGGTCAATATCAAATTCCCCAGCTCTGGTGTATGAAGGGCAAGATGGGACAAAGAAGCTTCCAGAGGGATTGCTGCCCTCCATTCCTCCTAACATTGTGGTGTCTGCAAGGACCTAAGCTCCAGCAATAGAGAAACAGAGCTGACGCTCTCAGAGAAGGAGAGTGGGGACCAGTGTCACAACGGGGCACAGCTCCCTGTTCCCATCGTTCCCATCACTGCCCCCCCCCCGCCCACCCCAGGAGTTTCTGACTGCTCTCCCATTGCCTGTGTTTAACAGGCAGGGAAGGACTAGATTGCAGACTGGGAACAGTTTCTAGCAGCCCCACTCTGACGTGCTAACCTTCACTCTGGAAGCTTGGCGGAGCCTTACCACAGCAGATCAACAGTCAGAATGTGGTGAAAAATAGGCCACCGTGATTGCCCACGCCCTCTCCCTCTGGTGAGGACCCCCAGCAGTGTCCCCATGAAATCCCTCCTCAACAGTCCACTGGGATGGCAGATGAGACGCCACAAAGACGCCCCACTGACTCACACACCCTCTTCCCTGGCTCTGGGCCCATCTCCAGTGGAGGCCTGGCTCTGAGGAGACCCAGCTAGCTGGCACAAGATGCAGTTTCTTCCCAGGACTTGGTGCTGGGGATCACAGCTGTAGCTGGGGAGGATGGGACTGGAGAAACGGGCCTCTCAGGATCTGGGTGTGATGAGTCCCTGTCTGCACTGTGAAGGACAAATCAGGCAGGGTCCCTTTCAGCTGGAAGGTGGTCAGTGACTTTCCAGGACTACCCAGGCCATGAAATAAGCTCCGAGTGTGTGTCCTGGAGGACTAGGAGGGTCAGGCAGGGCCTACCTAGCCTTGGACCATGCCCAGCCTGTACACAGGTAGCCCACAGCTACAGCCCAGCACCACGGCTCCACAACTCGGGTGGAGCACAGGGAGAAAGTGTTCTAGTCCCTGACTTCCATTCTTGGCCAGCACATTTCGGGTTTAGGGGCAGTTGCATTTGATAGAAGCTTAGGAAGGAAGACTCACAGAAGTTGAACCAAATAATTGAAAATGATCAGGAAGACCAGGGACGCTGAAAGGGGACCCCACCACCACCCATACACATACATACACACACAGCAGGCCATGGAAATGTTCAGCCTGAGAAGGAAAAGTCTTGGTGTCTTGGGTTTGTAGGGCGGCTCTGCTGGATTCCAAGCAGAAAAGGGGTGAGGGTAGCTCAGGGCTGGGGTTCAAGACTACTGACACCCCAGCAGAGGCTCTCCAAAGCCCTGGGGCTTGCTCATTTGCCTCTTGGACTCTCAGTGTCTGTCTCAATAGGACCTGCCCGGGGGAAGTGACCAGATCGGGGGCCCTGGGACTTGCCTTCCTGACCTTGAGCCAAGCTGCCAGGGACAAGGGATGAAAGTGCAGTAGGACTTCTCAGAACAGCTTCCCCAAAGAAGAGGCCAAGCCTGCCCAGTCTACAGCCCTCCCAAGGGACCACAGAACTGCTCTCTCTTGTCATTGCCCTGAAACCTCCTTGATCTACCTGGAGGGCACCAGAGGGAGGGTGGCATCCCCCCTCTTTGGGAGAGAAGGGCACTCCTCAGAGAACACAGAGTAGCCTCCTGAGGAGCAAGGCCCAAAAGAGGAAAGGGATAGAACTGGGAAAAATGGAGGGCAGAAGCCAGGAAAGACAGGCCAGGAATGGCAGCCAGCAGTTTGCGCGTAAGATTGTAAAGGAGAGAGGGCTGCTCTGTTGAAGACGGGGCACATCTCAGGTGTGTATGGGCTGTGCAGAGGAGTCACTGCACCTGATCCAGACACTGGGTGGTTAAGGCAGTGTACTCAGGTTGGAGACAGCCAGAGACTCTGTGCTGGGGTGTCTTCCGCCTGTATAACCGCAGGACCATAGCAGCAGCTGTTGGGCGTGAAAGCCAGGAGCCTTTTAAGTAGTAAAGGAGCTCTCTGTCCCTGACCCAGCTCTCAGGCCTGCGGCACCCCTGAGCACCCCTCAGTCGGAGGCATGCCGGAGCCCCTACCAGCGGCTGCTTCTAAGCTACTCTGCAGCCAGGAAGCGGCACCGCTGCAGGCCCAAGGGCCCCACTGCCCCAAAGAAGGCATCCATTGAGACCGTAGGACCAGCCTCGTCTTTCACCTTTCGCTACAGCCTTGTTCCGCGCCGCACTGTTTCCTCTGGCCACTGTGGGGTCGCTAAGCTACCGACCGGCAAAGCTCACTGAGGCCCAGGCTCCTGCAGCTCCCGCCGAAGACCCAAAGTCAGGGTGGACATAAATGCCGTGGACAGGACCCCAGTGAGGCTTCGGTGCCTGTCTTGGAGGTTTCTCAGCCTTGGCCCAGAGGCCTCAGCCCGGGTCTAAGAACTTGGGACTCTCCTGGACATTGGCGGTCGGCTGGGTCATCTGGCTCAGAGCCTCAGCGGCTGCTCGTTCCGCACCAGCGGGCAAAACTCTAGTAGGAGTCGCTTCCCGAGGGCGTGTTTCGACGTCAGAGCCAAACTCGGGGGCAGACTAGCCAAGAGCGGAGGACGCAAGAGTGGCAGGCACCGCCAGCACGCGGCCTCGGTTCAGAGCAGGGCTGGGCGCTCTCAGCAAAGGGCAGGCCGGGGCGCGGGCGGCGGACAGCGGCGGGAAAGGAGCGAGGTGCGCCAGGCTTTGGGGCGCGCAACTGCCCAGCCTCGTAAAAGATCGCACCGCAGATGGGGCGCAGCTGCGCGCTCACTGGTGTGGACTGAAAACGCTCCGAGCCGGTTATTTTAAAAGCCGGGAAATAAGGCGGGCTCCCTCTTCGCCCGCCACTTCTCACCAAATAGGCTGCGCGACCCTGGGGGCTGATCTTCCCCAGCTGCGGGGCTCCACGGCGCGCCGCAGCGAGGTCCGCTCTGCCGCAGGGACGCTGACCGCCGCCCGTCGAGCACTGGCCAGAGCGCCGGGGAGGCGAGCGTCCGCCAGGTTCTCTCCCAGGCTCCGCTCGCACCCTGGTGCCTCCCTTTCGTTTGGCCTGTCCTCTGCTCAACTGAAATCGTTAATTTTCTTACCCCTTTGTTCTCATTTTGATATATTCCACTCTTTAAACACGTTCCTTTTTCTTTTGTCGGCTCCCTCCCTCTTTGTCCTTTCCCCCTTCTCTATTTACTGGTTTTGTTCGATCTTGCTTCTGCTTTTTTTTTCGTTCGTTCTTCATTTATTCCTTTCAGGTCATCCCAGCTCGCCGACTGCCATTTATCTCTCGCTCTCGCCGCGCTCTCCGTTGTTTTGTTCAATTTCCCTTTCTCTTTTCTTGGTTGTTGTTCGCTTTCTTTGGTTTTCTTTCTCAGTATTTCGTTGTCAAGAACACCCTTGCCGTCGGATTCCAGGGTGCTGGGATCCTCCTGGTCGCTCGTTCCGCACCAGCGCTCTCGGCAGTCGCGCGGTACCGGAGTGGTCCAGGCGCCCGAGCTGTCGGTGCCAGATGCGGCGCGCCTAGCAGGGACGTGGGCCCAGTGGGGTGGCTCCTGCCCGACACGGAGTGCTGAGCCAGACCGGGTACCTGTCTCTGGAGGTGCTCACCGCGCTGTGCGGCCGCTGCCGTCTGGCTGGGATCAGAGGAGCCAGGCCAACTGCTTCTCATTAAGTCCCAACTGTGGTTTTTATCAGGAGAGCCTCTTTCAAAGGGCACAGACACGAAGCTCCGAGGACTCGTTCATTTCCTCCGTTGACCCCCACACACCTCCCCGCCCTCTCCTACACATTCCCACCGCCCCAGCTGGGTGAAAGCCGGAGATGCCAGGCCACTCCGTGGAGGCCCGCGAGGCGCCAGCCGGGCGGCGGCAGCGGCTCTCGGATGATCCAGCTCTGGGCCTAGGCTGCGGGATGTGGCCGCGCAGAATCGGTGGGTGCGGTGCCGGCGCCGAGGCGCCTTACAGGTCAGCGGGTGCAGCTGACCTGCCGATCAGCCTGCTAGGCCGCTGCCTTCAGGCGCATTCTCGGATGCCGGCGCGGTCCAGCTGGCCTTAGCACAGGGCATCGGCCCGCGAGCTCGCGACGCCTGGGAGTTAGGCTGCCTAGGGCTGCTTCTGACTGCCAGCACTGATGATCCAGCGCGGGAAGCCAAGACTGCGGGAAGGGCGTCTATCATCGTGCATAATGGCAGGGAAGCCAGCTTAGTCTGAGAAATAAGAATACAGTTATTCCGTCTTGAGGACAGCAGCGGCACTGCGCTACTAGTCGCGGCCAGATCGTGCCAGTCTGCCGCACAGGCAGCGCCCTTCCTGTGGAGGCTAGGCCCGGGGAGGAGAGGTGGGCCAAGGCCAGGCCGCAGTCCCCAGCCGAGCCGGATTTGGCCATTCTAGGTCGAGGCCCAGCCTCGGGGCCCTCAAAGGGCGCCAGACACAAAAGCCGCGCTTCTGCGTCAGAACTCAGTGTGGCTCTCCAGCCCTCGGTCGGGTCTAGGCTTCAGGGTCTGTAGCGGTTCCAGTTCAGCTTCGGCAGAGCATGATCTCTCCTTCCCAGGTCCGGCTGCTTCCGGGCCCCCAATGGACCCCGAGCCGTCGCCACTCCACTTTCCTCGACCTCCCGCCTCCCATTCCCGCCGCCGAGGAACCGCAGTTCACCCTCCCGCACCGCACCGGCCTTTGCCTGGCCCGGGCCAGCGCCGACCCGGCTTCCGTGGGAGCTGTGGCGAAAGGCTAGAGGCGCAAAAGTTAAGAAGTAGGCGAGCGGGAAAGATAAGCAGGAAGGCCCGGGTGGCCCGGGTAGGGAAGAAGGAGAGAGGGTCGGGCTGCGCGCTACGCCCGGCGCCACGCGTTACCTTCCGCGGGGCCCTCGTAGAAGTGGCCGCCGTTGAGCGCCAAGCCGGGCCCGAGGTCCTGCAGGTACTTGGCGGGCGGCTTGGCCGGCTCTGGGAGGTAGGGCTCCAGGGGCCCGCAGCCCAGAAAGCGGGTCAGCCCCGGGCCGCGGGGCGGCGCGGGGTGCAGGTGAGGCGCAGCGGCGGGGGTTCCCTGCGGGCCCGGAGGCTGGTCCCCCGAGGCCGCATAGGGGCCGGGTGCAGGCCCTACGCGGAAGGGCGCGCAGTGCTCGGGGTCCATGCCGGCTCCGGGCGCACAGGCCTCCGGGGCTCCGGGGCTTGCGCTGCCCGCGCGGCCTGTGAGCGCCAGCCAAGAGGGAGGGACCTGGGCGCGGGGGCGCGGAGCCCCCGGGAGCGGCGCGCGCCGCGGGGGGCTGGGGGCGGGGGGCAGGGGAGGGGGCCGCGCTTCTGACTTAATGCTGGAACCATCCACGTCACGTGTAACCCCGCGCGGGTTAACCCCTCGGAGCCCGGGAAACCCCCTCCCCCCATTCACCCAGAGCCCAGTTCCAGGCAGCTCAGGAGAGGATGAAGCAACCTCCTCTCTAGGGCGGGATCCCTTTGTCTGCCCATCCAGGTGAGTCCCTTGCTCAGAGCAGCACCCGTGATATCCAGCCTAGTGGCTATTGCCACCCCCTAGTGGCTATTGCCCCTAGAGGGGTGCGGCAGTGTGGGTATCCCCCCAAACACTTTTAGGCCTGGACTCTGGACATCAGCTTGGGATGAGGGCCCGGGTGGGCGGGCAGGCAGGCAGGCAGGCGTTAGGCTGCAATTTTACCTAGGTCTCTGCTGGGGCCTGGGCAAAATGTTGCCTCAGGAAAAACCACCTTCCTTAGAAATCTCTTGTTTCTCACATAGAAAGGAGCTATTGGGATTGCTGTGTGGAAGCGGATCTAAGCTAGAAATGGGGTACTGGGGAGCTTGGGCCTGGACACTATCATTAATTAGCTGTGAATCCTTGAGCCAATCATTAGTGTCCTCATCTGACTGTGGAGGTCAGGGCAAGCCAATTCTGGGTCTTTCTATGTATTTGAGGTGTGTTTCAGAACTAGATGCAGGGCCAGAGCAGACAGGGAGACTCCCACCCGCAGCTCAGGACCCAACAGTGTCCTGCGGAGGCAGCCTTTATAGAACAGGTGGAGGATGAGCAGAAAGGCTGATGTTCCCTCTAGCAGCAGCTTGGAGTGAATGCCTTTCAGTGGGCAGATGATCCAAGCGTCTGGGGCTTCACTGGAGAGAGGCTATCTGCAGCTCAGACCTCAGGGCTGTGCTCCCCCAGGCCTGCGATTTGGAGGGGGTGAGGGTAGAACTGCATCTTCTAAGAGTTGAGTCTCCCCAACCAAAAGGAAACCTAGGATTAGAACAGTAGCTTGGAATTTCAGAAAAGAGAAAAAAATCCCACCCTACCTAAGATCTGGGAAGAAATACCCAAGGACCTGAGGACCCTGCTCACTTCCCATGGATTGAGGAGCCCTTGGGGCTGGATTAAACTGCTTTTATTTTCAGTACTCCCAGAGACTAGCAAAAGAGGTGGGGAGCCGAATATCATTTGTATTTCATTCGAATTCTCAATTTTTAAAGGACTCCAAGAGGCCTGGCGTGAACACCTCCCTCTTCCGCTGGGGGTTAGAAGGGGTTTCTTGGCTCTCCTCAGCCAGAGTTGGGCTGTAAATCAAGACCAAACAGGAACCAGAAGCCTTGCATCTCACAAGGAGTCATTAAGCCGTTATTAAACATACCATAACTTCTCTGAAGCCTTATTGGTTTTAACACCACATTGGAGGCATTATGGCCATTAGGGCCCCTAATCACAGAATGCAGACTGGCCAGAGAGATGGGAGCACCTGGGGCTGGTATCAAGTCAAGAGGGAGGCTCGGCTTGAAATTAAGCTTCCCTTCTGGCCTCACGAGAGGGATCCTTTCTCCAGGATCCAGTGGATCCAGCTCTGGGCAACCAATTTGAACTGATCATCTTTGCCCATTAATAAGGTTTTTCAATAGTTGTTGATTGGTTGTGGTTTTTTTTCTGTCTTACCTGTACCTGTGAAATTCGCGATTGTTGACTTTCTAGGAGAACGTCAATTCAGGATACCTATTCTATTCAACAGAGTTAGCAAACAGTTTACTGTGGAGAATGCAGATATCACCCAGGAAAATGTCACCGACAATTTAAACCAGGCAGCCTGGATCAAAGGCTGAGTCTTCTGCCTCCTGTGACAACCTTTCTGAGCCTCAGTTCCCTCGCCATAAAGGTGGGTCACACATGGAGGTAGGGTATTTGAGAAGCATTCATGTTTTCACACACTGTGTTAATTTAACAGATGGTGATGATGATGATAATTACCATCTCCGATGGGTTCCGTCACTGAATAGGCGGAAGGCTCCTCACTTCAGACTGAATGGGACTACGGCTGGAGCTGAGCAGAGAGACACGGGAACTTGCATCCACTTTCAAGTCCAGAAGTTTCTCTTGACATTCTCCCAGTCTCTGAACAGAGCCAATTTCTATTCTGGGATAGTATGGCCAATTAAACTGAGGAGAGAGAAACCCCTAGATTACATGGCATTTTTGTGGGTAAATGGAGTTGTCCCTCCTGGGAGAGTTTTCTCCCAGAACTATGCAAGTGAGAACACTGGGAGGAGACTTTTCCCTTCATCTTTTAAACCATTAGTGCAAACTTTTTTTTTTTTTTTTTTT